AGTCCATCCATGGGTGCCCCTGGGGCTGATTGGGCTGATTCTCAGTGGTGGAACAGTGTGTTCCCCGCCGGGGCAACAGAGAAGGTGGCTGGGAACTAAGCTGTGGAACAATCTCCACGCATGTAAATCAATGCCAACAAGCTCTCTCTGGAAAGAGTCAGACTTAAACCTCTCACATTCCACCTCCTTCAACTGCTAGGAGTCGGCCCAGGAGAAAGGAAAACGTACGTCCACATGCACGTGAATGTTCACAGCAGCTAGATGGTGGGAACAGCCCAAATGTCCACCAACCAGTGAATAAACAAATTGTGGCACATCCATACAATGGAATACTAGTCTGCGATGAAGAAGGAATGAGGCACGGATCCATGCTAACGTGCATGAACCTAACATTATGCTGAGGAAAAGAAGCCAGAAGTCTCCAGCAAAGGCACGTCTACAGAGACAGAACAGATCAGCACTTCCTGGGGCTCGGGTCAGGGAGCAAGGACCAACGGCAAACAGGCACAAATGAGCTTTTCTGGGTGATGAAGCTATCGGACTAGACTGTCAAGGTGACGGCACAACTATCAATTTATTAAAAAAAACAACAACACTGAATTGCATCCTTACAAGGAGTGAATTTTAAGGTTTGACAACTATACCTCTATGAGGCTGTTTGAAAAACACACCTTGGTTAGTTTCTGGGCTCCTTTAGTGGTGAGTAGCTAAGGCCTTCAGAGGATTTATTCTGTGTCAGGCACTGTATTAGCCCTAAACATGTATTTATTAATCTACTGATTCCTCCACCAGCCCTAAGGGGTAGGGAGTATGATCCCCACTGCACAGAAGAGAAAAAGCAGTGAGGTTAGGAAACTTCGCTGCTCAATCGTTACCTGCCCAGTCTCGCTGGGATCAGCAATGGCTGGGCAAACAGCAAACATTCCCCACACTAGTGATATGCTCTTCGCTTTTCAATTCCTTTCCTTCTTGCCCTGCAGCCTGTCACCTCCACCGTTCTGCCACTATCCAGATTCACCACCAGCTGTGTCCTTACTCCCCAGGGGGTTCAAGATGGGCTCCAATGAGCCCATTTCCCAGAACTAAAGCTGATTCCATAGTGGCTCCTGGAGTTAACTCGTTTTTTTCTTCCCTATCTCCAAAATGCTTTTCACGTGAATTACACAGCGCTTTGCAAAATAATAGGAGCACAATCACCCTCCATATTTACAGGGTCTATACCGCAAGTAGGAAATAGTGTCGAAGAGCATAGGTATGGTTTTCAGAAACCAATCTGAACATTCCTTTACAAGAACCTGCTTACTCTCTGGCTCGAGGCAGATACCTAAGTCTCTCCCAGGAAATGTACACTGAGAGCCGTCACAGCCTGGACCTGCTCAGGTGAGGGAAGACAGTGCTCTTGGTCTCAGGTCACCAGGGATTGTGGCCTGTCCACCAACCCCTGCTGCTGGAGACAGGACCTCAGTTAGAGAGACGACTTAAAAGAGCTTGCAATCCAAATCAGCATTTTAGTACAGCGCAGGGGAGGCAAGGACATTGAAGGGGAAAGCAGGCGGTTTCCCCGGAGCCAGGATTCTTTCCGTTGGGGGCTCCAGCGGGCTTGGCGGGCATGGAGGCAGGTTCCCTGCTGCCAGCAGCTCCACCGCACGCTGCAGCCCTGGGCTCTCGCAATTGCTGCCAATCGGCTCCCTCTGCTCCCTCTGCCAGGGGAGCTGACAGGCACTTTGAAAGCGCTCTGGGATGAAAGCTTCCTTGTTCCCTGCAGATCACAGGAGGACTTGCAGGCAGAGATCAGCCTAATTAGAGCTGCGGCCCCTGGGGAAGCATGAGGGGCTACCACCTCTTCAGAGCTTGAGGTTTCTTGTTCAAACCAGACACACCGCTCTGAGCCCCACTGCTCTTTGAATATGGCCCTCTAGCTGCAAACACAAGGAACCCCAAAGCTCCGGCTGGGGCCAGAGGCGGTCATTCCAGGCAGAGGACCCATCTGCCAGCCAGTGGGGTTCTGGCTTCACCTTCCCTGCGGAGCTGGGAACTTACGGCATCAATGAAACCCTCAGAGGCCCGGGGTAAACTCAGAACAGCCCCTTTACTGCCTTTTGCAGCACCGGGAGATGCTTAATAAGAAACACCTGGAAGATGCTTAGAGTGATTTTCCCAAACCCCAGTCTGACAGCATCACGGCCCTCACCTGGCCGTAAAGCCTTTACTTCCTGTTGTCCCACGATCAAATCTGAAATCTTCGGCTGAGCCTCTGCATCCTTGTATGATCTGCCTCCTCCTCCAGCCTCATCCTTCATCCGCCTCTCCCTTCAGCCACAACTAAAGTTCCAATAATTCACCTCCATTTCTCTTCGTTTTTTCCTCCATCCTCCCTGTAGCCCCAGTCTGCCTCCAGGACTCATCTCTTGCAAATACCTCGGGAGAGAATCTCTGAGCCAAGCACCCCAAAGCATCCTGGTCACATCACTATCACAGGGCGTAACCTACACCAGAGGCGTGGCCTGTGGCTCTGACTGGCTTCTCTGTGACAACTGAAGCTACCTGAGGACAGGGGCTAGTTCTTGGACATCTCTGCTTCCCCAACTCCCAGCACATGGCCGGGAGCCCACAGCACAGGGCTGGGGGTTCACAGCACACAGCTGACATCTTCGCAGAGCGGATGAATGAACAGCAGCAGGCAAGAAAGAGCTCTGGGTGTCTGTGAGCCACAGAGCTCTGCAGAGAAGTCCCACCCAGGAGGTGGAGTGAAAGGGCAGTTTCACCAGCATGTCTAAGTGACCTGTTTTCCAATCATAGGTCCAAGATGAGCTTCCTGGTACACATGAAAAACAAACAAAACAAACCAAACTCAGCCTCTCACTCATCCATCCCTTCAATGGGGAGTTATCGTGCACCTACTGTGTGCCAGGCAGAGGCCCAGGCACGCGGCATTGAGAGGTGAGCAAGCTGGCATGGCCCCTGCATCAGGCAGCATTTAGCAAGGTTTGGGGAGTGTGGCCTTTGTGTCTGAAAGGAAGCCGAGTAATAGATTTACAGAGAACAGGCCACAAAAGGACTTTTAAGGACTAGCTGGGATTCAAGAGTCTTAGGAAAGAAAAAAATAAAAGCCTTCGTATAAACTTGATAAAGAGTCTTTTCACTTGTGGTGGTGAGTAGCCCTTTTCCCTGAGAGGAAGTGGAGACAGGAGAGGAGGAGGTGGGGTTCAGGAGCGGGGATCCTGGTAGAACCTCAGGAAGCCTCCCCTGCCGTTGGTAAGAGCCGTCTTAAAACTCACTGCCGGGGGAGGTCACAGAGCCCTGCCTCCCTTCAGGAAGGACCTGAGCTCCCTGAGTTGAGAACATGGGCAGCGCAGCCCGCAATGCCGTGGGGGCAGCCTGAGCTCCCACTGGCCCAGCATCCGCCTTGATTCCAGGGTTGTGAGCCCTGTGAATGTGAATGTCCAGAGGATGGGGCTGCTCCTGCCCCCTCCCAGGATTACGTGAGAATTAAATGAGATGGTGAGCCTGGCATACATGGCAGAGTCTGTAGGTAAATGGCTGTGAGGGTTAGGATGATTATACTGTCATTCTTAATTTAGATGTCATACAAAAACTGAAGGATAATAATTCAAATGCTTAGCTCTCGTGGTGAAGTCTGATGGGTAATACTGTATAACGTATTATAATAATAAAACACACTTATGTAAGAATATAATACAATATTACACATGCTATAATGTATGAGCAATCAGCATATTAGTTTGCATTTATTGAGCACTGTGCCAGCCTTGGTCTAAGCACTTCCCATGTACTAGCTCACATTTAATGCCCACATCAGCCTTAGCCATTCTATTACTATTCTTATTTCAAAGGGGAGGAAACTAAGGCAGAAGCTGAGTAACACACCTAAGTCATAGGACCAGAAAGTCGTGGTGCTGGGATTGGGGCCCAGGTGGCTGGCTGCAGAGCGTACCATCCCGTGGGTCCCCCCAAAAATCAGAAGCCCAGACTGCCGCCCTGCAGCCTCCACCCCCAGCTCTCCCTGTCCGGCAGCAGCACAGGCCTGTCCACAGCTCACCACTCCGTCAACCCAAATCGTTCCTCTGAAGCCTACATTGGGCCCGTGATCTTTGCCTCTTACATTTTCAACGTACCGTTTCCACTTGAGGCTGCACAATCCTCACCCCCTATTGTGTAAAAGCTTCTTGATCACCCCAAGGCCTCTGCTTTGCCCTTGAAGAGGAGCCCCTATTTCTGGACTCTGGTCAAGGAGTTCATACTCCACTACCCACAGGGGCTCTCAGTCTGTCTATTTCTAGCTCCCTGTTGCTTCTGAAGTCTAAGGAATTAAATTGTTATAAATGATAGCAGTGACAAGCTTGGCCTTTACTTCCATGAGCATGGGCCACAGCTTCCACACTCTGATGGGGTCATGGGACTTACGAACCCTCCCCCACCCTCCCTGGTGTGCAAATAAAGTTCTGCTTTTATCTGCTTTATATAACTTAGGTTTCATGTCAAGTTTCACTTGTAAAGGGGTCATGCTTTAAAAGATGTTTGAAAACCATCTTGATGTTTGAGAAGTCCTAACATATTTGGAATGACAGGATATTTATTAAAGGAATGCTTAGAAACCACAGGCTCCATCCTGGCCTTACTTAGGGCGAGGAATGACCATAGGCAAGACCAGGGAGCTGTCTCATTGTCCCCTCCCCACCAGGTCTCTGTGACGCCTCTCAGAGCGTGGGCAGGTGCAGGTGTGATGGTCAAGCGGGTTTTCATCTTGACCATCCAGTTTCTTCCCTCAGTTCTCATTTGGCCTCCATTGTCATAAAGAACATTCTTCCCCCAATGACAGACTGACTCCTGGGTGACCACGACAGGGCCTGCTTCAGAATTCCAAAAAACCATTATCCAGCCTCTGGAGTCTTTCAAATCAGGAAAAGGACCCCAGAAACATGGTGCGCCCTTAATAGGAAGCAGGACACGGAGACATACGGACTTCCAGAGAGGCTCACCTGCTTCTCAATGAAGGCGTTGATTCTCTGCAGCACCCCCTCACACGTGAACTCATACGGCATGTATGGCTCGATCTGCGGACACAGAACACGGTATCACAAAAGAGGGAGACACAGGAACAGGCAACACCCAGTCCTCCTCGGACTCACACTCAGTGCCGATGCCTGTGTCAGCCTGGTGAGGGGCTACAGCTATGAACTTGGAAGTCAAGAGTCCTGGGTTCACACACTCACTGCTCCTTACTAACTGTGGGACCCTGAGCCACTTACCGTACATCTCTGAGCCTCAGGATTTCATGTGTGAAACAGTGATGAGAAAAACCTATCTCTTCGAAGCTGTGGTGAAGATTATATAGGGGGAGAGGGGAGTAAAGCATTAGTTCAGTGCCCAGCACTGAGTAGGCATTCAGCAAATGGTGGGGAGATTCCCTTAAAGAAGGTAAGCCCTTGGGGCAGCATCCATGGCTGCTCTCAGTGCCGAGCAGTGTGGCACCTGTGTGGACTCAACATGCACTTAAACATCTGCTGAATGAATGCATGCCCACTGCTCTGAGAAAGGCCTGCGATGAGTGGTTTAAGGCCCCACCACAGTGACAAAAGCATTGTTCTACTTTTGTAGGTGAGACTGACATGTGGTGAAAAACCAGGGTGTATATAGTGCCACAAAGAGTTCATGTAGAGGGTCCTGGGAGGCTGGAAGGCCGAAGCCGACTTATACTCATGCTGGGCTTTTAAGGTCAGCTAAGATTCCAGCAGGCCAAGATGTGGAAGATATCCTCAGCATAGTGAGTGATGTGAGATTAGACACTGAAGAAAACAGCAGGCGGGTAGAGCTCAGGATCATGGAGTTTGGAGACAAGGCTGGGAAGAGGTTCACTGGATTTCCACAAAAGCCTTGCGATCTCTAGGCTAAGGAGCCAGGCTGTGAGGGTAGCCAGAGACACAGAGGGGCTTTGTTGGGGTGGGGGAGGCAGTCTGATCAATCATGTGACACCTGTGAGAAGGGACAAATGTGAGTTTGGTCTCTGCTGCACAGCGCCTGTGCCGACATAGTGAAGCCTGGGCTTCGGGGGCAGCCAGCTAGCATCAGCAACTGAAAAGGAAATTCCACTTGGCAGAAAACCATCAGCAATCCAGTGCGTGACTGCTTCAGAGAGCCCCACAGCACTGTCAACAATGGAATAGAGGACACCTTCACCATTGCCTTCTTAAGTCTAAGTCTATACTTGCCTATCTTGAGTCTACTGGGTAGAGGAATTGGACAAAACATCTACGAGTTGAGGCCGGCTGAAAATGGGACAACTGACCCAGAAGACAGCCTTCTGTGAGCACACAAGCAGTTGATCTCAAGGCATCTTCTTCCTTTTGTGTGTGTGCTAATTTACACACTACTTTTCAAATCTTCAATCATGATTGTTAATTTCATGACATATCTTCAAACACACAACTAGATGGTGCGTCACACAAGACAAGTTGTATCTCACCATCCCTGCCCACATCCATCCAGACAGAACTAAAAGAGGCTCAGCGTTAAGTATTATAACATCAGGGCATGATTATTCTACAAGAACAGACGTCATTCTGTGCCAAGATAATTCATTTCCAAAGAGTTCAAAACACTTTGAAAAACTGACTTCCCTTGTGTCTTCTCATCTCAAGTTTTTGTGCTTGCTGTGTCCTTTCAAACCCAGATGTACGTAGCCCTTCATACCAAATGTAAACCTTTCTTTTCTTATTTATTCAACCAATGGATGATTCCAGAAACATTCTATAAACGGAAGTTAATTAATTCAAAGGGCTCAATGCAATACAGAAAAATGGCTCTTCCAGTGTCCTCCTAGCAACCAAACTCAGATAACCAAAGGGAGGCTGACTCATTCATTGCTTTGTGGTCCAATTCACTGTTTTAAAAGATTCATAACCAAATAATTTTACTATAAAGGAAAAGCAAAAAAAAAAATGGTATCTATAAGCCATCTCTGCCACCCTGAGTTGCACTAGCCACCCTGCTGTGGACAGGAGCAGAGCCTCTGTGTGGGAAGCTCTCCAGAAACCTGGTTTCGGGGCTGAAAAACACTAGCAAGCCTCCTAGAAGCTGCTAGGCAGGTTGGAGGTGTGTGTGTGTGTGTGTGTGTGAGAGAGAGAGAGAGAGAGAGAGGGAGAGAGAGAGAGAGAGAGAGAGAGAGAGAGAGAGAGAGAGAGTGAGTTTTCTGCACGACAGTCCTTTGGAAAACAAGTCCAGGCCTCTTTGAGGAGTGGAATGAAAGGGAATGCTGGTATCACATCCAGTCACAGACAAACCCAAGCAGGGCCATCGTGGAGAAGTGGGAGAAGTTTTTGGTCATCCTGTTGGTGGAAATAGGGCTGTTACTCATCTGGCCACAGGAAGGATGCCTGCTGGCCACACTGTGTGGTTCCTGCTGGCTTTGGGAACTTCCCATTATCTCCCCTCTTTCTCCTCCATTTTCTCTCTGGGTTTCAACCTGGATAATTTCTATTAAGAAGTTTTCAAGTTCATTGATATTTTTCTCTGCTGTGTACGGTCCAATGATAAGCCCACTGAAAGAGTTCTTCATTTCTGACCCTGTGTTTTCAGTACCAGCATTTTCTCATTTGGCTTTTAAAAAGTTTCCAGCTCTCTCCTGAAATTCCCCCTCTCTTCACTTATGCTGTCCACCTTTTTCACCAAGTCTTTAATGTACTGATCTTAGCATTTTAAAGGGGCTATATGATAATTCCAACTCCTGGGCTATCTCTAGGTCTGATTTTATTCATGTTTCCTCTCTTAATGATGGGTCATGTTTTCTTGCTTTTTTTTTTATTGTTGTGTAATTTTAAATCTTGTAGTTATAGATGAGAAGGCTTGGCACCAGATTTCTGATCCATTTCTAACAGGTGGAAGGGTTTCAAAGATAATAGTTTTGGTATTAATCTCATTCCTTACTTCATCTCTTTCCTACCTTATCTTTCCCTTTATTGTACTTCATTAAATGATTTTTGTTTTAAAACTTAACAAACTAGTCTAAAAAACCTAGGGGTCAATCCAGGTTTTACTACTTACTAATTGTGTGATCTTGAGTAAATTACTTAATTTCCTTAAATCTTAATCTTCTCAAATGAAGAAGGATTGAATGGGATGAAGCTCATAAAGGTATACAGAAAGACTCTACATGTGTAGAAAGAGGTTCTCTCTGTATCAGCTACTATTATAATTACTTGTTTTCCATTAAGTGGCCTACATAGGTTGGAATAAGATGAAAAAGGCTGATCAGGGTCCTATAATGTGGAGCACTTAAGTTTCATGGAGTGAACAGGGCCAGCCTCACGTAGGAGTGAGCAGATGGAATTCAGTGCCCACACCTAGTGCCTTATGTAGCAGACATTCATTCTCCTTCGACTTTTGACAAAAGGAGGACTCCATGATCCACGATTTTCTGCCTCTAGATTAGCTTTTAAATTACTCCTCTTAAAGGAGATGGGCACTTAACTAAGTATGTGGGTTGTATGAAGTCCCCGAAAATATATAATGAAGTCCTACCTCCCAGTCCCTGTGAATGTGATTTTTTTTGGAAACAGGATCTTTTTAGATGTAATCGAGTTAAGATGATGTCATCCTGGATTTGATGGCCCTTAATCTGTATGACTGATGTCCTTTTCAGAAGTAGAGAACACACACACACACACAAACACACACACGGAGACTGCCATGTGATGACAGAGATAGAGGTTCAAGTGCAGCAGCTGAAGTCAAGGAACACCTGAGCCACCAGAAGGTGGAAGACACAGGAAGGGTCCTCTACTAGGGGCTCTGAAGGGACCATGGACATGCCAACACCTAGCCTCTAAAATTGTGAGGAAATACATTTCTGTGGTTTAAGCCACTGAGTTTGTGATTCTTTGTATGGCAGTCGCAGGAAATGAATTTACTAAGTTACTGGGAGACACAAGAAAGAAGGAAGCCCTTCCATCCCCATGGGCATGCCTTTCTGCTGAGGCTTTCAATGTGGTGCACTTTCCAGAAATCTCTCTCCACTTGCACTCCTCAATCGTTTGCATGCTGTTATGGGCACAGAACATAATCCGAAAACATCTATTCCTCCCTCTCTCCATCCATCAGGTGTGCTGGGTTTTGAGAATATAAAAGTGAGACAGATATAGTCACTGCTTTCATGTTTCTTAGAGTCTAGTGGAAATCCAGACTATCAATGACAAAGATAAGGACAGTACATTATTATATATGTAATACTAATATTGACTTAATAATACTAACCAACCGCATACCAGGTGGTAGACTGCACTTAAGTTCTTTATATTCACTAAATCTTCACAACTGTTCTCTAAAGTACATAATATTAGCCTACAACAAAGATGAGGAAACTGAGACTCAAAGGCTAAATAACTGCCTGAGGGGGTGCTGCTGTATGTGGTAGAGCTGGAACCTGAACCCCAGCTGTCTGATTACAGTCTTTCTCAGCCACGCCCATAAAGCTTCTCTTAAAAAATTACAATAGGAAAAAATGTTCTGAAAGGACGAGTGCAGGGGAAGGGTACACCCTACAGAGTCTAGGACATTCCTGGGGGTGGGAGAGAGAGTAACTTAACCCTTTCCTACATGGTGGAAGCTTCCTACAGGCAGACAGCCAGCCTCAACCATGTTCATGGAAGTGGGCATCCCCTAGAGTGGCTCAGAGGGTGCTGAGTGTGCAGCAGGGACTTCATAAATGTCTGCTGAATTGATCAAGAGAGTCCAGAGATGTTAGTTACTTATATAAAATTCTAGAAAATGTTTAGGTAGAAAAGCCAAATGAATAGATGCTATATCAAAACATGTCCCAGTATTTCCTTAAATATTCCTTATCCTCACTGTTTTTGTAGAAGAGCAAGGCTGTCTTTTCGGGTCTTTGTGAGAGCTACATAATTAGGTCACTAAGCAAGTCCTATAATTCGAGCTCCTATTTCTGTGTCTGGGATCCAGGAGTCCTGTCACAGGTTTGCAGAACCACACACATGTGGACACCAGCTCTGTTTCCACTTCACAGAACACCCATGAGGTCCCCAGGCCACGTCTTACGGCTTGGCTATTTTCTGATTCCTGAGTTAAGCTGACACGGAAATGTTCTCATTGGTCAAAGGGCCTGTGATACTTCCCACACTTTTCAGTTCACATTACAAATGTGGGGGAGGAGGGGGGATGAAATAAAAGAAACAACCTTCTGACTTAGAATTGCTTTCACTGCATCCTCCACTTCCTTCTGATTGTCGAGGTCAACAGTCCAGACGTGGGGCCGGCCGATGAAAACCTCAGCATATGGATGCTGAGATGTCAGCTAAAAAAGAAAAGACAAAACCTCAGTCTCACACACTTTAAAAAAAACCTTCTGTGCTAGATGAGGTGTTAGGCTTTTTATGGTACCAAATTGCACTTGCACAAGTAACAAGATACTTGTTCTGCCCTTGCTTGGCCATCAAAACCTCCTAAGTAAACTATTAGTAGGTCACAATAAACCATTGAGCTAGTGGGATATTTCTTGGGCCCACCCAAAACATCTGGATGCGTAGGCAAGGCATTAACAGGTACAGATAAGGAAACTGAGTCAGCGTCATCCTAACAGGTTCATGTGAGATGTTGTTTTTTTTAAAATATATTTTATTGATTTTTTACAGAGAGGAAGAGAGAGGGGTAGAGAGTTAGAAATATCGATGAGAGAGAAACATTGATCAATGTGGGATGTTTTAAATGACAGATGCCCAGGGCTATCCTGGACCCTTTGAGATGGGATTCTTTGGAGGGGCTCCTGGAGGCCCTGGGATGGGTGGCATGTTGGCCATGGCTTTGCCAGAGGCGGTGAGGTCTGGGAGGCAAACCCGGCAATGGTTTCACATCTCGAATCCCACTCGGAAAGAAGAGCTGGCATGTCATAACCAGGAGGCATGGAGGATGTCACAGTGACTTCACCCCCAATATTGCACCAAGAAATAATGAAGGTTTACTACCCTCCATTATATTGCAGCCCTGAAATCACCCCGATCAAACCTGTCTGAGTTAAAAGACACTGGTTAGAATAGACATACAAGCACAGGAAAATTACAACAAGGCCTTAAAGTCACAGGAGATGAGTGATGGTGACAGACAGAACTAATGCTGCCAGAAAATCAGGGGATTTGGGATGGTTTCAGGAGTAATCATTAGCACAACAATGAAGGACTCTATTTTTATAAAGACAATATGCATTCAAAAAAGCAAGGTAAGGCCAGTGTTTGCTCCAAAGAGGGCTTTGTTTTGAGAAGAAAGGGTGGCCAGAAAAACCTGGTATGAACGCTGGTGATTCTCAGATCTTAAAGGGCCCATTCTTCGAGACAGCTAAACTCACCCCTCTAATGAGTTTTCAGCTTTATTCTTGTTTTCCTTTAAGGTTATGGTGTGAAGGGGGCATTCGTGGCATTTGTGGGAGCGTTTTCAGTTCTCACGAAGCCTGGGGGTGCCATCCTTAATGGGTAGGTGAGACCAGGATGCCAGGCACCTGGTGATGTGCACGACAGCTGTGTGCAAGGCAGAGCGTCCAACCCTGTACAGCTCTCACCTGCCTGGTGGGCTTTCCTGAGGGTTCACAGCCCTGACTCTTTGGCACGCTGTAATATACACTGAATTTGCTTGGCACACAACCGCCATGTAAATCAGGGATGCTTGTACTCTGTTTTATTTGGAACGCCACCAATAAGCCGTGTTGTTTCAGAAAAAAACGGCAGCACAAAGTCAACTTCACTCGGAGGATCTGAACCTCCAGTATGCCATTCCCAAATCAGCCTGCATTTGCAGCCACCCCATTAATGTCAACTGTGTATATAGGGACTTTTTATTTAGCTCCTCTTTCACGTCAGTTATAAGCAAAGAGCTGATGAGATTTGGCTGCGTGTTTTATTTCTCTTAGATACAAACTTATTCCTGGAGAGAGGAGTGAATGTCATGTGTCTTCTGTGTAGTTCTTGGGCACACATTAGTATTTCTTGACTACAAGCACACTGAGATACTTATTACCTTATTGTAAATTATTTTGCTTTCATTTTTTTCTTATATTAGAGTTAGAGAATCCTTTTTAGAAATTGTATATGCAGGCAAGGCATATTATTTACATATTTCACTTCAGGAGGAGAAAAGTGGACGTTCTATTCATTGTGTAATAAAAGGAGGCACTGGGCCTGTTGGGGGCAAGGCCCCTTGCGTGGAGGCCACGCTGGCTCTCTTCTTTGGTTCTGACCCCCATATGCTCAGAGGATGGGATTGAACCGGCGCCTCTCATGGCTTGTGTCACCGTTCTTTGTATCTTACCACACAGATGGTGTGCGTGAACTACTCAGGGTGGCCAAGTCAGAGTCTCAAACCCAGGCCCTCCCTGGTGCCCTAGGTGCAGGTACACCAGACTTCACTCGCCTCCTCTGCGGAGTGCGCCTCTCACTAGCTTGCTCAGTTCTCCTCCCGGCAACACAGACCCTCTTCTTCTACTCAGACTCCTGGTGAGGAATAGAACCCACAGAATGCCACAGGCTGGGAGCTACGGAAATAGCATTTGCTTCCCTCAGCACATACTGTAGGTTTAGTACATATGGATGAAGCCAGGCACCGTGCTCATTGCTTGACATGCATCAGTTCTCAGGTTTCCCGTGTATCCAGGAGGATTGTGAGGCCTAAAGGCGGTTACAACTGCAGCTACAAAGTGGCTGAGCAAATTCAAATCTAGACCCTTCAACAACTTATTGGCTTTACACAGAAAGGAAAGTGATGATATTAAAAGACGCTATTGGGTTCTTAAGACAAAGACCAAACAAAACCCAACGTAAACACCAGTCTTTCCATCGCTCTCTTAAAACTTGGCAACCTAAAAAAAATCCCAGACTGAGCTTCTATCTGTATTAGACCTTTTCTGACAACGAGCAAAATGTCACAGCATAGTCATTTTGGCCCAGAACGAGCTACATAGCTGATCCTTACACTGGAACAGGCTGAGGTCAGGCTGCCACGTGTGCCACCAGTTGGCCACTCACACATCAGTGTTTCTCCCGGCCCTTTGCAGGCCCCTGCTTATTTATAAGGCTGTTCTAAGTACTTGGAAAATACAAAATGCAGAGCCCTTATAATCTTATGCATTTACGTTTATTGAGGGTTACTTAATTTTAGGAGTAAGGCATTTTGTGATTCATTATTCCCCCTCTGAATGTTATGTTCCTTCTTGTTAATTTATTGAGAACCATCTGATCTGAGTTACTTCCTTGTATATCAATCAGTAAATTTACTGGAGTACAGTTTGTAAAAGTAATGAAAATGTTATTAAATGTGAGACATTACTTCAGAGCGGCTATTAAATCTCCAAGGAGGACATAAGTTCCCTTTATGGGGAAAAAAAAACCCCAAATCCACAAAAAATAAAGACCCCTCCCCCCCCCGAAGCTAGAGAATTTCTAATGGTTTACAAAATGTCATAAAAATGATCGAGAATCTACTAATATGTTTCCTAATATAAAGATAAAAATCCAATTTATACTACATTTAAAGTATACTGAAAACCGACCAGATTATTTCCGGCATTATGGAACTTTTTCTCCTCAGCGCACATGTGGTTTTAAAAATTGGTCCAATGCAAAAAATAAAGACAAAGTTTTTTTGTTCTCTAAAACAGAAGAATCTAGACATTTTCTTCGAATGAAGGCAAAGAAGAGACATGCAATTTATGTGAATCAATTGTTGCTTAACTTGAAACTAGCATTGGCACAAAAGATAGCTATGTAATTATACATACTTCGGTTAAAAATTTTCTGCAGGGGTAGGGGGAGGCAATTTCTAGGGATTTTTGCTCCTTAGAAATCTGTAGAATTATTGATACCTGTTTCCCAATTAAAAGAGTCTTTGCTTAGGGAAATTCTGTGGCTTTTGTGAGCTAAAGGGACAGAGTGGGGTGGCCCGATGGGCCATGAGGTCAAGTTCACTGGCTCCTCTCAAGACTGTGCGATAGTGCTGGCTCCAGTCTGCTCTCTGGGCTGAGAGTCTCCAGCAGAGGAGGAGCTGGACAGAATATGGAAACTGCCCTTCTGCATAATGTAAAGTGACCTTGGATTTCCTTCCAACGTGTTAGCATTCATGCTCCTGAGGCTTGAACCCCACTCTTCTTCTTCCCCTTTAAAGCACAGCTACTCCCCACCCTCCTCAGTTAACCCAGCACACCCTCCACCTGGCACAGCTCCAAGGTAGCTTCCTGCCTTCACTGACTTAACTACACTAGTATTTTTATATATTTCCATTGATTATGCAGCGACTGGTACCATGGACCCTGTAGGGCACCATGCACACCTGCCAACTGACCTTCTGCATCCCGGGCCTCCCTGGGAGCCAGGACCAATGGAGTCACCTGTGTGAGGTCACCTGAGAGCCAGGACCAATGGAGTCACTGGTGTGAGGTCACCTGCTAAGTGACCGCTGAAAGATCCCACAGAGCCATTGTAACCAGTCTCATCTCTGAAGGGCCAGGAGGAACTAAATGACTTGGGGCAGCTCCAAGGCCTGTCTCCTTTTAAGTAATGAAGAATGAAACCCTCCGTGATCTCAACAAAAAGCAAATTACTAAATGGTGACACCTGATAGAAAATAATGAACATACTTTTCTCAATAACTTCATACTGCTAATCTGGTCTCTGGAATCCTATGTAATAAAAGCCTAATATGCTAAGTGTCTGGTCGACCGGTCAGCCATTCAACCAATCAAAGCATAATATGCTAATGATATGCTAAGGCTATGTAATTTGCTATGACATGCACTGACCACCAGGGGGCAGACGCTCCAACCAGTAGGTTAGCTTGCTGCTGGGGTCCAGCGATTGGGACTGAGTGAGAAGGGCCAGACACGCCCTGGAGCCCTCCCGTGGTCCCTCTCCAGCTGGCCAACCTCCCGAGTCTCTCTCCAGCCCCGATCATGCACTGGTGGGGTCCCTCGGCCTGGATTGAGCCCTCTCGCAATCCGGGGCCCCTCGGGGGATGTTGGAGAGCCAGTTTTGGCCCTATCCCACAGGGGGAGCACTGCTCAGCCAGAAGCCGGGCTCATAGCTGGTGAGCGCAGCAGCGGTGGCGGGAGCCTCTCCCACCTCCACAGCAGCACTAAGGATGTCCGAGGGGGGAGCGGGCCTAAGCCATCAGTTGGACATCCCCCGAGGGCTCCTGGACTGCAAGAGGGCGCAGGCTGGGCTGAGGAAACCCCCGCCCCCCCCTCCGCCCAGTGCATGAATTTTGTGCACTGGGCCTCTAGTATTACATAATTCACTGGGAAATAGTTAGACTGAATCTAATTGTCCTACATTTGTTTTTGTTTGTATGTTTTTTTCAGGAAAATGTACTTACTTTTAACAAAGTGGCATCAAAATCTTTAGAATTATCACTGATGAAAAGGCGCCAGTTGTCAACACAGCCTAAGATCAATCATTTCTCAAAGGCTTGTCTATAAAAACTGCAGTAAGGAAAGAGATGGGTTTCCTTGCTTTTGATGCATTAAAAAGAAATCATGATGAGGGAAAAGAAAATCACCATTAGAGCACCACAGTAATAGTTGCTACAGGCAAGATCCACTGATATATAAAAATAAATGGGCAAGCCCTGGTGGGTGGCTCAGTTGGTTGGAGCATAGTCAAAAGGTTGGGGGTTTGGTTCCCTGTCAGAGCACATACTGGGTTCAATCCCTGGTCAGGGTACATATGGGAGGCAACCTCTCAATGTTTCTCACATCAATGTCTCTCTCTCTCTCTCTCTCTCTTTCTCCCTTCCTCTAAAATCAATAAAAAGCATATCCTCAGATGAGGATCATAAAAAATTCAGATAAATTTAAATAAATAGGAGAACCAGGATATTTGTGCAGTTTCAGAGTATTTTCCCAATTTAAAGATAAACAGCAACTTTATAGTTACTACTACTTTATATAGTTACTACCCTAACCAAGTGATCAAGGTTAACATCACTTGGGATAAGATGCACCCCTGATCTGATACATTGGAAAGGGCACAATCACTTCTGTGGTATTACTGCAAATATGTGTAACCCTCACACTAATCATGAGAATACATCAGCCAAATCCAAATTGAGGGACAGTGTACAAAAACCCGACTTGCACTCCTCCAAAATGTCAAGGTCATGGATGGCAATGAAAGACTGAAGCACTGTCACAGATTGGAGGAGCTAAGGAGAAACGACAGTTACAATGCAAAATGAGGTCTGGATTGGATCCTGGAACATAGAAAGGATATTACTGGAAAATCTGGTGAAGTCCATATAAAGTTTGTGGTTTAGATAATACTATGGTCCCAAGGTTAATTTCTTAGTTTTGATAATTATACAATGGTTTTGTAATGTGTTACCATTAGAGGAAACTGAATGAAGGATATAACCCAAACTCTGCAATTTTTGTAACTTTTCATTAAAACTAAAATTATTTCAAAATAAGAAAAAAGTAAATTCCAACAATTCCACTTGTAGGTATACACCCCAAAGAAGTACAAGCAAGGACTCCAGCAAATACTTGTATACCAGAGTTCAGAGCAGTTTTGTCCACAACAGACAAAAAGTAAAAAACCCAAGAATGGGAAAATAAAGTGTGGTATATTCATACAATGGAATATTATTCAGTCTTAAAAGGAAATGATTCCATCCTGGCCGGTTTGGCTCAGTGGTCAAAATGTTGGCCCATGAACTGGAAGACTGTGGGTTCAATTTTGGTCAAGGGCAAGTACCTCGGTTGTAGGCTTGAACCCCGGCCCCAAACAGAGCGAGTGCAGGCGGCAACCAGTCATTGTTTCCCTCCCCCTCCTTTCCACTCTCTAAAAATCAATGGAAAAAATATCCTCAGGTGAGGATTAACAACAACAACAACAACAACAAAAAAGTGGTTCTGATACATGCTTCAACATGAATAAACCTGGAAAACATTATGCTAAGTGACATGTACCAGTCACAAAAGGACAAATAGTGTATAATTCTACTTACATTCGATATCTAGAATATGTAAGTTTATAGAGACAGAGGGAATAGAGTTTACCTGAGGCTGTGCAGAGGGGAGAATAGGAAGCTACTACTTAACTGGCACAGAGGTTCTGTTCGGGACGGTAAGTTCTGGAAACAATGAGTGGTAATAGTTGGACCACACTGTGAATGTACTTGATGCCAGGGAATTGTACACTTAAAAATCTTAAAATGGTCAGTTTTACATTATGAATATTTTATCACAAAAATATTTTTAAAACTTACAAATAATTATACACCTGAGCAGAAATAGAACTGAGATTTCCTTCATCTAAATTAAAACACAGGGATCATTTCTTAGCTCTTATTTTCTACCCCAAATGCCAAAGGTTTAAAGAAGTCAGTCACATGCCAAAGCAGAGGCTCCTAAATCTATATGTTCTCACTGCTGGGAGCATCTTTTCAACCCTTTCCAAAGACTGTGCGTTCCCAAAGCACCTGGCACACAGGTGTGTGTGAGTGCTGCTGAGGAATGACATCCCCAAAAGAAACCACTCCCCAGGATGAAGAACTCAAATGTATTATACTAGCAGGAGGAAAAAGCACGCAAGCAAGCAAACACACACACACACACACACACACACACACACACACACACACACACACACACACACGGAGGCCTTGCCCCAGGTTATCTGGGCCACAGGTTCATCTTTTTGAGGATAATCTACAGATCTTATTGCTCTTCCTCCATCTCCTTTGGCCATTTCAGCAATGATTTTGAGGGTCAGAGGAAAGAATTCTCAAAATAATCAACTCTGTGAATTGGTAAGATTGCTGATCAGTAAAGAATAATCGTGGAAAATGCATTTTAAGTAGTATTGGGGGTTGGGAGAATCGACCCAGAAATGTTCAGAAGTGGCAGCATTGCTCACTGAATACTTTAGCAGTGCTGTGATATGCTGCTATGTCAGGGGAGTGCTGCCCAGCAGGTTATCCTAGGAGAAGGCCCTAAAGGACAAGGGCACAGCAGTGATGCCAATACTCAGGCTTCCTCCTCGCCAGCAGCCCACATGGCCGCTTACGAACTACATCAGAATAACAGAAAGTCAATCCCATGGTTTCTTGCACGCACCTGTTTAGAACCAGTTGCATAAACACCCAGCTTACGCCGAGACCGGTTTGGCTCAGTGGATAGAGCGTCGGCCTGCGGACTGAAGGGTCCCGGGTTCGATTCCGGTCAGGGGCATGTACCTGGGTTGCGGGCACATCCCCAGTGGGAGATGTGCAGGAGGCAGCTGGTCGATGTTTCTCTCTCATCGATGTTTCTGACTATCTCTCTCCCTTCCTCTCTGTAAAAAATCAATAAAATATATTTAAAAAAAAAAAAAAAAAAAAAAAAAAAAAAAACCCCCCGCTTAGTCACTCACATACTCCACAAGACTTCTGTTTATTGCCCCAAATAAAATCTGACTGCCTCCAATGGTGATTCATCACCCACTGTGGATTTTCAGGAGGATCTCTGAAGGCACTTCCAATAAAGCAAGGGTGGGGAACCTTTTCTCTGCCAACGGCCATTTGGATTTTTATAACATCATTCTCAGGCTATACAAAATTATCGACTTAAAAATCAGCCTGCTATATTTGGTCAAACATTTAATTAACTCACCCATGATGCCTTGGCAGGGCCAGACCCAATGATTTTGCAGGCCTTATCTGGCCTGCGGATCAGTCGTTCCCCACCCCTGTGAATAAAGCTTTTGCGAACGGCTGGGGCAATGGCAGGACTGCTTCTCAGGGTGGCGCCTGCTGACGGTGGGCTCACACACCAGATACATCACTTTGGTTACCCAGATGCATCCTGTTTCTCAAGGTTGATGGTTTTTCAAAGACCTGCAGCCCACTGTTTAGTCCTCACAGTTCACCATGGAGAGTAGGTCCGTCAAAATACCTGCTAACCAGCCGACTTCCTTATTTCATAACAAACCATTCAGAAAATCAGAGTTCAGCTCATTCAGCTGGAGATGTCTGAATTAAGATAGAGTTGGGGCGGAATGAAAAAAATCCCACTTTGTGGAGGGGCAGAAATGGATTCAAATCCTGGCTGTACCATCACCTAGCTATGGGATGCCATCATGTGCTTCATCTCTGAGCTCCTCACTCCCTCCTTCCATCCAACTATGTTCAGTGAAGTTGGTAGCACCTACCATCCAAGGCTGTGAGCTTACATGGGCTCTTAGTACTCAACACATAGCTATTACCATGTTATTGTCAGTAGAAGAATTTTAAGAGATGCTTACCTCTCTCAGAGTTGGCTTGCCAATGAAAAAGTCTGTGTTTTTGCTGCTTTTGGGTGGGTTGAACTTGGGATTCAGAAAAGCACATCCATTTGCGATGGCCTCCAGGGGAGCTGGGCCCTCATAGGGGAACCCGAGGCCCACAAACAACTGTAAGACAGAAAAGCACACCGCACGTAAACACAGCAATCAGAACTGGCGTCCCTGCCCCTCGGGGGTTATTCTGTGCTCCAGTCCTGTGTGGGAGGCCCAGAAAGCCTGGAAGCCTCCTAGGCCTTGGGAGACGGGGCGAAGGGAGGTCAGTTGACAGCAGTACCAGGCACCTCCGGGCTCCTGAGCTGTGTGGGTCCTCATATTTTCCTTTGCTAAAAAAGTAAGGAAGCGCTGGGACAGGCAGTAGAGGGGGTAGGAAAGTGGAGGCATTAAAAGAATAAAAACAAACAAACAAAAACAAGACCCAACAATCATCGTTCTGTAACTCACCAGGAGGCATGATTGGAAAAACACTTGCTTGACTAAACAGAAGGTTTCTTCATGGAGCCAAAGGAACAACAGGCCCTTTCAGGGCCGCTGGGCAGGGGGACAGCAAGGTCACTTGGTAGTTTGATTACAGTTCAAATGGAGCTGCTTTAAAATGATGGCAAGTCAGTAAACACAGGTTTTCATAATGGGGTTTTCACGTCGGGACACCAACATCTTGGTTTTTATTTTCTCATGTGGAGAGGGTGCCAAGCTGCGAACTGGGCAAGGCTGCTTCCATATCCAGCAAGCACACTGCGTGCTTCCCCGCAGCAGACCATAGATGGCAGCAGAAACACACCTTCTGGGTCCACGCAGCAGCCTCAGCTGAGAGCAGGGTGACAAAGGGGACCTGCAGGTCTGGGGCACTGACTACCAGGTGCAGAAATGAAACACCTCACAGAAACTTCTCCTGCGCTTCATTGCCATGGGCTATGTCCCAGGGCCGCAGAGCTGCAGTGACTGCCAGGCGGGTCCACGTCTGGGCCCGGCGACCTGTGTGCTCTCCCTACCACATCAGGAGCCAGTTCTGTAGTCACTGTCTCCAGAGCACAGCAAGGGACAAAGGACAATGGGGCCCCAGGGCATCGTCTCCTTCTGCCATCACACTGAGGACACCTATGCTGCCAGGACTGAGAGGGAAGGGAGGATGCTGCAGAGCCGACAGGGTAGGAGGCTGGCTTCTCCTTTCCCAGCCATCCTTCCACGGCAGCTGCTTTAACTGAACGGTTATTTAGAATGGTTCTGCCTAGAGAGCCCTGAGCTCAGGCTGCCGGGCTCCCTGGGCAAAGCTGGAAGACACAGGATGTATGTGGTGGGCCCGCGACTCCAGGGCTGAACACTGTGCATGGCCCACTCCCCATACTGGAGAGTCAGGTAGCCCCACAGGGATTTTTCTGTGGCAAAAAACTAAAATCTCTGCTTTTCAGGAAAGATCCCCCATCCTGTAACTATTATGTTCTTTTGCACCGAACAGTGCACACTTAACCGTTTCGTTGTTTGGAGGAATAACCTCTCATTTCCTGCAAACCTTGAGAGGACTGGCTACACTGTCAGAAACATCCATGAAGGCAGAGGGGGTGGGGGTTGTTAAAGAGAAAGGAGGTTTTGAGAAGCCAGTAGAGCTCCCCTGCTGGCTGGGTCATATCTCTCAGGCAGAACCACTGGAGACCTGGGGGTGGGGAGGGAACATGGACGCAGGAGCCTGCGAGCTGCAGGATATCAGGTGCACCCCCACGCCACTGGAGGCCCCTTTTCTGGATCTTATTCTCATTCTGTCACTAGCAGGAGTGAGATTTATCGGAGAGGATTTCTGTGTATAGGGTGTGGCCGGAGCATGTGCCTCGGGGAGAGGCATGCCTAACAGCAGCAGGAGAAATGGAAGAAAATGGGGAAGTTGTACTGTAGGCCTAAGACACCTCAACTCCGTTAAATATGAAGAACCCAGGGTTACCATCCTTGAGGCTTTGATTTCTGTGTCCTGCCCTCCCCGTCTGATTTGGGGGAGGAGGGACCAGCTGTCCGGGGGGAAGACGGCCTCTACCCAGCAGAGAGCTTCCAGATGCCTTGGAGAAGAAAGGTGCTGGAAGATGAAGTTTCCATGCAGGTGGGTTTACTCTGAGCCCTGGAACTCGGCGTTTCCTGACCCTGAGAATCAGTCCTGCCACAGAGGGCCGGCACCTTCATCAACTCCAAACTGCAAACAACTTAGGAGGAAATGTGGGAAGCACAACACTTGTCTATTTAAATAGAAAATCCTGGAAAAATTTAATTAGCTCCTTCAGACCAACCAATCTGAACCCATTAATTAAAAGGATTTGAGGCTCTTGCTTAATGGGCTTGAGTGTGACCCAGGTTTAATTATATCTGAATGACAATTTGCACCATCCCTTCCGCCCTGCTGGCACTGGAATACCTCAGTGCACACGAAGCAAACACTCTGGGCTAACTCTCCAAAGCCGCACCATTTTAGGATGAAGCTTAAGCAAATACCACACAGTTTCTTGGCAATGTTTTCTCATGGCACTAGTTAGAAATGCAGGAAACGCATTATTTGGAAATGCAAAACAAGTTTTTGTTCTGTCAATAAGCAACATTTTCCTTGCTTTCTGTGCACTCATTTCCTGTGACGCTGTGATGGACAGATGTATTTAGGTCAAATAGCATACTTCAGGTCTGAATGAGGACAGGGTGGGGCAGGGAGTTCATCATCACGAGGGTGATCCGTAAACTCCTGAGGGTGTACGGCAGTGGTTCTCAACCTTCTGGCCCTTTAAATACAGTTCCTCATGTTGTGACCCAACCATAAAATTATTTTCGTTGCTACTGTTATATCTGATATGCAGGATGGTCTTAGGCGACCCTTGTGAAAGGGTCATTTGATTGCCAAAGGGGTCGCGACCCACAGGTTGAGAACCCCTGGTGTACGGCTTTGTCACACATACACTGGTACCTTAACCACACTTAACCTTCACCTGGACGCCCCCCTCTTTCCCTGGCATTCTGCCCGCTTTCAGATTTCCTCAGCACGGGGGCAAGAGACACACTACAAGAATGTACTCAAGTGCAGAGGCTTCACTGTTCAGGAGGAAACTGGGTATTTTATGTGCCCTTCATCTGGCTGACAGAAGCCCGGAATCTAACGAGGATATTCCAGATGACAGAACAGCTCCAGGGCTGCAACTCTGGCTCCATCAGTGAGCATTTCCAAACAGAGGGACTACATGCTCTAAAGTTAAATTTCCCAACTAATATTAAGCAAGAGGGAACAGATGATGCGCCATATGTCTTATTCATGGCATAAGACTAGGGCACTCCTGTGCATCCACAGAGTTTCAGGGAAGCCACTCAGATGCTCGCTCTGTGTGAAAGGAGACAGGGAACTGTTCCCACCTCCTCAGGGGAGTCCTCCACAAAGAATCCCTCAATCGTGGACCACGGTCGTTTCCCAGAAAGACCCCACGGGCCTGGTCAGCTTCCAGTCACTTTTGATGAGGAATATCCAAGGTAATACAAAATGAGAAACATACAATCAACATACACTTTTCGGACTAGTTTTAATTAGGCAAGTTGATAGGTGGCTCAGGAGGAATGTGTACAGGGTGAATTAATGGTTCAGCTTGGTTGGTCTGAGCAGTGAATGATCCTCAGCTTATCCATTAAATTAATTACTGGCACAAGCGATCAGGACAACGCGGTGGTTAGGAGAACAGGCTGTGGGACCCGGGAGACAGGGTTCACGTCTTAACTCCATCATATCCCAGGTTCTGTAACTGTGGGAAATGGTTACACGCCTCTTCCCATGGATTCTAAAGGCCCATCTTTATAATCTATTCTCTCTAGCTAGGGGTCCTTGGTCAAGGTAACATCAGCTCTCTAAACCTGTCTTTGCATGTGTTAAGTGGGGAAAATAGTGCTATATTTCATGGGGCTTCTGTGAAGATTAAATGAGATATTTCAAGGGAAAGATATATTCTAAAGCCTGGCACTTAGTAGGTGCTTACTAAACAGTAGTCCAAGTTCAAATCCAGGGTCAACTTCATGCAGCGGCATATCCACGACTTTTTACTGCTTAGCTGGAGTTAAGGTGTGTAGGAGTTTTGGTTGTGGGCTTTTATAAAATATTCAGCACCTGCATGTGTATTAATGAGTTTTCACTGTTTCATAAAGTACCTGGACTAAAAAAAGGGGAGGGACATCCATAGGAAGAGAGAGAACATGGTTTACAGTGACTGCCCATGGAAAGGCCAGTCCCGTGAGCCACATGCTCTCGCTAAGCCTTGTGTATTCTTCATATAATGATGGGGAATCAAGATATTTTTGGTATCCCTTTTATATCTTTAAAACGAATTCATACAATGGCTAGGTATCAGACAATTTCAAGTAGCCTGCAGGGTCCCTTCTCTGGCCATCTGTCTTCCCTTTGGCACCCAATGCCGAGGAGAGACTATAGCAGCCAAATTCTCACCCATATGGGTTTGGCTACACCCTCTCATGGCTACCCCAAGCCCCTGACCGACACTACCGGAAAATTCTCTTGCAAAGAGCTAGAGGGGCCAGGAGACAAAGACGAACGTGTTTTAGGGCCTAAAGATGCTGCTAAACCCAAGACTACTTCCTGGAGACAAGCTTACTGAGTCGACTCCCAAAGTCTGCCGAGTTACTTAACTGGCCTTTCAGAAACAAAGCGAAACACAAGCATCAGAACTCAAACTCCCTGCGCTCCAGGCATCTGGAAGGTCCAGCACAGAATCAAATGGAATCGGTTTGCATTGTAGATGGAGATGGTGGAGTAAGAGGCTATCTGGATTAATTTAAAACAGATGCTGACCATCTCCACCTTGCCAGCATGACAGGTTTCCCCTCAAAAGGCAGCTTAGGTATCACTCCTCGGAGGAACAGCTTCTGACCAGCCCGCCTCACCCGAATCCCACACCAGATGGACCCCTCAGCTCCCCACAGCGAGGTGCTCAACAGCCTTGTCGTCAGCACATTAGAATGGGTTCCAGTGGTACCCAGATCAGAGGACTCTTGAGACAAAGAGATGACTCCCAGAAGAGCTTAGCATAGGTAAGGATTAGAGAAAATGGCTGTTATTGTAGTAAAATCCTGCCATCGTGGGCACCGGGATGAAATGAATATGCTAAATGCGTGAAAAGTGACTGAGATGGACTCTGTCCTCCACAGCAGCCTCACCCCGTGTTTCATCGGCTTCACCAGTCACAGGGCAACACTTTAAAAACTGAATGGCTGACCCTGCTCACAGCACCATAGGAAGGTTTATTGTGGTACCACTATTTTATATTATTTCTACTCCTACCTGTGTACTTTTTCACCTTTTATAGTTCCCTGTGTGTCTCCTCCCCAACACCTGTATATTTGTTGTGGGCAAAATGGCCTTAGTCATCTCTGTATCAAAAGTGCCTAAAGTAATTCCTGGAACATATCCAGTTCTTAGTATTCATTTGGCAGAGAAATGAGCAAAGGAATACATACTAACAGGTTAGCTTTTTCCAGCAATCAAGAGTGTCTGTGAGGAGATGCTGGATGTCTCATGTATTTGGATGTGGGGATATGCTTTTGTTCTGGAAGTCAGCGAGGTCACTGAATCATATCTCTACACACTCTTCATTCTACACACATATGTGGGAGGGGAGAGAGAGGAATATATGTGTGCAACTTTTTTCCATCTGGTTGGAACAAGAATAACTTAGGTGCCGGTCACTAGGATGAAAACTGCTTGCTTGAGGGCGAATGTGTCTGTATCTGAAATAGAACTGGAGGGCGGACTTCTCCGTTAGTAAGTAAGCTCGTGGGCGCTCTCCCAGGGCCATGAGGGGCAGGTCAAGGCATCAGAAGGAAAGTGCCCCTGCTGGGGAGATCCTGGAGACCCAGGTGAGTGATTCATGAGAAAAGCAAGAAGTCACTCCCAGAGGGCATGACCACAAGATCCCAGGTGGCAAACAGATTTCATCTTGACTTCCTCCTTCATTCTTAATGACCTGAAGGCCTTCTACAAGCCAGGCACTATTCAAGGCATGAGAACCACCTGCAAACAGAACAAGCAAAGCCCTCTGCCACATGAGCCACAGGAGTTGGGTTCCCCAGCAGTGGCTGTCTCAGCCCTGGGTTTCTGAGAAAGACACATTAAGATGCGTTCCAATGGTACCAGCTCAGAGGACTCCAAGCTCGAGGGAAGAGCCATGGTTGATTGGTGGCCAGGGGGAGTGTCAGACAGGAGGATGGGATGGGAGAGGGACAGTATCTTCCAACCCTGCCCAAGCTTCTAGGTGAGCCCTGCAGGTAAGCTGTCAGCTGACGTGGTGAGGACACGGAAACTGTGACCCACCGGGGTTAGAGGGGAATGAGCAGAGATTTGGAGGGAGAGGAGGTGCAGCAACAGCGTGAGTAGCAGTGGCTTCTGCCTGGTTTCCCACAGCCAGAATTGGTTCTCAAACTTTTGCTGTAGAAAGAGAGGTACTTGAGCTTGGATGGACCTGGAGAATATTATGCTAAGTGAAATAAGCCAGGCAGAGAATGATAGGTACCATATGATCTCACTAACATGTGGAATCTAATGAACAAAATAAACTGACAAACAAAAGAGAAACAGAGGAACGTACACATGGAACAAACTGACAGAAACCAGAGGGGAGAAGGTGGGGCGGATAGGATGAAAGAAGGCGAAGGGATTAGCCAAAGAACATATATGCATAACCCATACAGTGGTTCTCAACCTTCCTAATGCTGCGACCCTTTAATACAGTTCCTCATGTTGTGGTGACCCCCAACCATAAAATTATTTTTGTTGCTACTTCATAACTGTAATTTTGCTACTGTTATGAATCCTAATGTAAATATCTGATATGCAGGATGTATTTTCATTGTTCGCGACCCACAGGTTGAGAACCGCTGCCATAGACACAGACAACCGTGTGGTTAGGGTCAGAGGGAAGGAAGGGTGGGTTCTGGGTGGAGGTGGGCAAAGGGGGGGGAGACATCTGTAATAATGTCAATAAAAATAAAATATAATTTTAAAAAAAGAAAAAAAGAAAAGAAAGGGAGATACGTGTCTGGCTCCCTCTAAATGCTCCTCCATCCAGTGTAGGACGAGAAACACCCATTCTGCAAGGAGCTTCCATGGGGAGACCAGGGGGAGTGGGCATGAAGAGGTTAAAATTAGGAAGGAAAGGAAGAAATCACATGAAAAGAGATGGGGACTTAAACCAAAGACAAAATGTGTGGATTTTCTGGCTTAACCTGCACTCCTGGAGTCCGCAGGATCCATGACTTGTCTGCTCCTCTGATAAACAATGACTCCCTCCAAATGTATATGCCTATTAGAAGTCCAGGACTTCCCAGCTCTCTCAGCCTGATGTCGGTGCCACTGAATTCCTCCCGTCTTTGCGGGCGCCCTGCAGCTGGCGCCTGCTAATGACACCTGGCCCTAATGGCAGGCCGGGACCAAATTCTGCTGAGCAGACAGTTTCCTGAGCTTGGTGCAGATTCGAAGATGGCTCATAAAGAAAAAGAATGAGTCAGAAGCTGGTTAGGCATCAATCATTTCGGTCTGTCTCTAAACCTCGAGGAGCGCCAGGCTCGCTCCTCTCTCCTGCAAAGGAGCCTAAAAGCCACTCATCTCGCATGCATTTGCTCCTCTGCATCTCCAGTCTCGCTTCCATGCAGGTTGTAATAAATTGCCTTTAAATTGCTCAGAGACACACAGAAAGGAGTAAGAGGCAGAGAGGGTTATATATGCAAAGCCTGACTGATCTTCAGTGTCATTATTTCAGAGCTCAAGGTTCATTCATTTTAGTGCCTGCTGCTGTGTTTTGGAGTAAGGGGTTGGGGCGGGGGGTCTTGGCAGTACACTGCCTCATTTCCATCATATTTGCCCACTGTTTTAGCCATAATTCTACTCGAAATACTTTAGTATATTTTAGATAGCTGAACAGGCAGTACAAAATGGGACCAGTGACATCCTCTGAAGGAACAATTTTTCAAGGATAAGTATACACCTCTCACACTCAACACTGAAGCCGCAACCCTTGGTTGGCAGGCAATCGCTGGTGGGGTGGCCTGGGACTTCCAGGCCTCAGCCCTTCCCTTCCCTGGATAGAGGGGGCCTCGGCCCCAGCCTATTTCTCATTTCCGAACAGGTAAATGGATGGTAGGTAATAAGAGCTCCTTTGAAATTTGCAGGGCAGAGTAAGACATTCACGAGGCTGGGCTAAGAGAAGTGTATGAGACGGCAACGCCACACTGCTGAAAACCAGTGCTGCCAAAGGTAATTTGAAAGCAGCCTGAGCTTTTCCCACAATCTACGTGGGGAAAAGTAAAATGAGGCAAATGGCAAAACAGCATTGCCACCAAAGGACCCACATATTCTAATGATTCTGACACCGCCCGGGACAGCAGGTGAAGGGGAAGCACACAGTGCGAGCTGGGGACACAGTGCCTTCCCGGCTGCCAGGCTTCGGACTAAGGTGACCTTATAAGGAAAGAAAGTCCCCTAAGACAACCACACCTTCAGCCAAGGACATAAATGACTTATCAAGCTAGTTTAGTCATGCATGGCATTGCACAATGGCTTGGAGGTAGAAATGGTCAGACGCATTTACATATGCAGAAACAGGCAGTTCTTTGTCTGGAGAGCATCCATTAAATGTTTGAGTGCTTATTCGTGAGGATGGTGTGTCAAAGGCCAGCAGAGCTTTAATTTACAATAAAAAAGTCACCCTTTACAGCCACCTTCCAGATGACCTCAGGGACTGTGGGCAAGCCCAGCTCTCTGGTCTGCTTCCTCCTATTGAGAATAAAGTTAACAATAGTACCTGCCCTGCCTACCTCTGGGGGCAGTTGTGAGGATTACACAGGACAGCACATGTGAAAATACTTTCCAAAATCAAAGTATCCCACAGTGAGTATAAAACCCTATTAGGCCACAGAGGTTCATCCACTCAGCCTCCCTCCCCTACCTTGAGGATGAAAACACATTCCGTCAGGGTCAGAGCCAAAAATTCACTATGAGAATGAGCTGCTCATCCTTTAGGAAACACTGAGCAAGGGTCTGCTTGTTTCCCTCACCCTGCACCCCTTGCACAGTGCCTGGCCCACAGAACTGCTCAGTCAGTATCTGTAAACATGAGAGCTTTCCTAATACACTACCAACCCTTCAAAACCAAACTCTGGTCTATTCGTAAGTCCCTTGATTTCATTTGGTACCTCATGGCAGAGTTACAGACACTGGGAGAGACCTCCCACATTGTTAAAACAACATATTCATCATCCATCCAGGGCTCCCCGGCTCCCTGCACCATGTGTTCTGAACCCTGTCTCTGTCCCTGACAACCAGCCAGCCCCTTTGCCTCTTATCAGAGTTCATCTTCTACTACTTCCCAACACTAGTTAGACTAGCCGGGTTGGATTCCACTCTCAACCCACTCTCGCCTGAATGTGTTATCTCCACCTGGCTCTCACTGCTGTCTGTTCCCAGGCCAGGAGCACCCACACCCCTCCGTTTCTCATCTCTTACATCTCTCAGGATGCCTTCCCCACTCCTTGAGCCTGAAGAGGTATTTCCCTTGTCTGAACTCCTTCAGTGTGCAGCCCAAGTGAGGACATGAGAGCAAAAGCTGGCTGGGGGACCAATTCCGTGAACAGTGGTGATGGGGAGGTGGGGCAGTTAAGCACCCAGGCTTGTTGGGAAAGCCACTGCCCCATCTGAAAGTCTGGCCCCCGACCCTGGCCCCTCACGGGATACCTGGTCCAGAGCAGGTCCTCAGTGAGCAGGTTACACTGTGGCAACCTCCTTCCACAATTCATTGACTTTTCACTGCCCAGAAATAACCTAAGGAACTACTGTAGCTTTGAAAAGAAAGCATGAGAGAGATTCCGATCCCATTTTCAACACCAGCAGAAACAAACCTGAAAACATCGCTGATGTATTTTTACCAAACCACCAAAAACTCACCTTGGTTTCTCGGAGAAGAAACTGCAGGTCCCGCCCACTGAGGATACCGTGGTTTTTCACGTAACTGGGAATATTCTTCGTGCTGGAGCCATAAACGGTAGCATGCACTTCCATGTATGTGTGAATAATGTCCAGGTAGATCTTCTTATTCTGTAGAGGGGACACAAGAGAAAGGCGTTCCTCATGTCTTTCCATCCTTATAGCACCTGTCTCAAAGCTGGGGCCACAGGCACGGGAGTTCCTAACACAAACGCTGCAGAAACATTGCAGTCCAACTCCTAAAATTTCTTTCAAAAGTAATCTGACTGGATTTTGAGGGTAAAAATGGTCATATGACAAACTGTACAATTTTGCAAGAAGAAAGTATTATATAGCGACCTATTATTGAATACCACTGTTAGCTCAAGGCCAAATGTTTGGGGGTATCATCCTTGCTTGGTAAATTACCAAGAGACCCAACACTTTGCTTCTGGCTGGTCTGCCTATGGGCGAGGAGATTGAAGAAGGCAAGGTTGGACTTGAATATTTATTTATCCCGAGACACTAAGCTGTCCCCGAGGAGCACAAACAATCCCCAGCTCCTGCCAATATTTCTAGTGATGCTTAACTCATCTTGTCGGAACAGGATCCCACCTAATTTGCATCATGAGGAGAGAGTTTCCCAGAATCCACGGTGACTGACTTGGCCGCTGGAGAGAGAAGACTATCCAGGTAGGCAAAAGTGAAAAACAGAATAAATGTAAACCCTGATGAGCCCTAAACATCTGAGAGTAGTTTTACTTTTATTAGCAGCAAAACAAAACCTCTTTCCTGGACTGAATTTTGAGGCGCATTGTCAGAATCAAAACCACCTGCAAAGCAGAAGCAAGCACACTTCCCTCCTCCGCACGTTTCTGTGGGACTACGTAGCATAAGCTGGGCTTGTGGGCTGCTTTTCTTTTTTTGTACTGCTTTCCAGTTGTATGAGAGTGGGACACGGTTTCCGTGTCTGAGCCTGTCCTCAGACACTCCAGGAAAATGCAGTCATTGCCAGTTTTGTGACTTAGGGTGGCAGGGAACATAGGTGTGTGAATCAGAGCGCAGCACGCAGAGCGCAGAGGACGGGCGAACACTTCTCCGCCAGCCCAGAGGTTGGGTCCTCATTCCAAGGACATGGGGAGCGCCTCGTGACATCAGGAGCGGGGTGCAGGGTCTGCCCTCTGCCATTCACTGTCCTGGTGACAATTATTACAAAGGACTCACAACTTTGGGGGTACATGTTTCAAATCACTATTAAAGTCTTCATGACCGAAAAGCATAGGTCATATTCTCCAGGCAGACTGTTCGGAGTCAGCCAAGCCCATCTCTGCACCCTAACGTGTGAATACAACGAACACTTTGACTGAAAGCTTAATTTCATGTGCGTTTGGTGTGGCTGGGAGATGGTAAATCCATTACTTCAGAGATGTATGCCCTTGAATTAGTGCAGAAGTGACGGCAAACAGTTTATAAATAGTGACTTCCCATCCAGAGCTTGAGCCAAATTTGGGGTCACCACTCTGGTGTAATGTAAGTTCATTTGAGGGGTTCTCTGACAGAGTTCTTGGGCTAGTTGTACCCTCACAAACCCCTTCTCAGGGACTCCATCTCCATCCTCACCCCTGCCACTGCTGACTGGCTCAGGCTGCAACTGGCCCAGGGTGGGGGGGCGGGGACCCATTCCTCGCTGGCCAGCAGCTGGGACAGTGTGTCCAGCTCAGGAAGAGGAGCTGAGCCAAAGGCCCTCTCTCGGGAGCTGAATCCTGTTCACAGAGAGATTACCGCCAGATGGCCCTGGGCTTTCGAGCAAGAAGGCCATTTAGTGTTGGAGTCAGGGCAACTATAGACCAGAGGTTAAGTTCAGATACAGTTATAGGCCAGCTGCCAGTTTTGGGGGGAAGAGCTGAGAGAACGGAGGAAAGAGGGAGAAAGAGAGTGACTGAGCCTTAGATATCACCCAGCAACAGTGATAAAGAGAGGCAGGGGAGGGCTGGGCAGAGGAGGAGGGGGAAGGAGGAGGAAGAAGAGGAAGAGGAAAACAGAAAGGAGGAAGATGGGAGATGAAGAGAGAGAGGAGAGAGGAAAGAAAGCAGAGACAGGAGAGAGAAAACCCAGAGCTGGGTCCCGTCCCATCCACAGTGGCTCCCTGCCCTCAATTTCCCAGGTCTTTCTGGACCTTTACAGTGACAGCAGCTGCCCAAACCTCCCCACCTCACTCTACTGGGTCCATTCCTATCATCCAGAAGGAGGCCTGCCAGGCCATTTTACTGGGCAGGGATCAGGGTAGGGGTAGGGGTAGGGGCAGGGGCAGGCATCTTTCCTTCAAGCAAAAGGAGACATTTCCACGTCAAAACCAGCTGCTAACTAGCGAAGGTGAAGCAAAGGCCCTGAACCAGGTCGGCAGTGAGTGACAAGGAGCACGTGAGTGGTCCCCTGGCTCCTGTCCTGGGTTCGAGAAACACTTGCTGCAGACAGACTCAAGACTAGGATTCTAAGATAAGAGAGAACAATAAAACACACCTGGGAAGGGAGGGACGGGAATGCTAGGACACCAGGTATGCCAGAAACCCCAGGGCTCCTCTAAGTGCAACAAGGGGACAAGTTCAGGCAAATACAAGAAGCAATGCAGGAGCTAATAAAGTTTACAAGCTTATTAACACTAAGGCATGTAATTTCATGATCAAGGAAGTCACATAGGTTATCAGAAGGAAAAAGATGTTTCAAACATAACTCTAACCTTTGAAATTGATTGGCCACTGTCAGAGTTCTGTAGAAACTGGCAAGCGTGAACCATGTTATGGAGTCCAGGTAAAGGTGATGGGGGAGCCATCCACACTGAGCAACCCCCTCCACGCCCTCCCTCCCCCCCGCAATGTTCACATTCACTGGAGGCTAAAGGAACCTAAAAAGGAGTCTCCAGCTCAGAATGGCTGCCTGAACTTCAGGTCCCCAAACCCAGCTGCCTCCGGAACCTGAGTGTGCTGCAGACACTTCCAACCCCACAGGTGGAAAAGGGACTCCATCACAGCCACTGTTCCAGGGCGGCATCACCGCCCCACCACGCTCCCGGTCTCAGCCTGACAGTACTCTCCCAGGCAGCTACCCGCACGGCACGAGAATCACCTGTCATTCCACACATCAAATCAGCCACCAAGCACTGCTGATGCTGACGCCATAATATCAAGGTTGTCTCCTTCTCTTTAGTTCTTGATCCTCGCTCACCTGGACTGTGCCAAGATTTATACAACCAGCATCTTAACACATCTCTGTGTGGCTCAAGGTGGCACAACTCGTCCATGGTTCCCACAAGTAAGCAACAGCACTGGGACTGACTGCAAAAGTATTTGTATGGCTAAATGCCAAGCAATACTATTCAATGTAGTGTATATGGACAATATTTTTACATATAGACATTACAAAACCAGGCATGGGGATGACAGATCCCAACATTGGATAGTAATTACTGAGGAGGGAGGGAGGGAGAGTTTGGGGAGGTAGACGGAGCTTTAATGGTATTTGTAATAGATCACATTCCTCTGTTAAAGAAAAATACTGCAAAAATATGAACATCTGCAAATCTGGGTGGTGGGTATTTTTGCTATACTTAATACATTTCACAATAAGAGAGAACAATAAAAAAATATATGCAATCAAGAACAAAAAGTAATATGTATCACGTCAAAGCCTGCACCTTTGCCACCACAGGCAGGCTCAGCTCCTGCCACGGAGACGTTCGAGGGTCCCCTCGTGTCTCTCTTTAAGGGACACTGCTATCTTTTGTGTTTAAGAAACGGGTGCTCAGGTTTCTTATTAAGCATGGCCCTGCCTGCCCTTCCCATGGGAAGGCCAAAAGTGGAAGGCGCGGGTCCAGGGGGAGGGCAGCACACCCTCCCCTCCCTTATGGAAGCAGGTGTCCTGTTGATCTAAGACTAGAAAGCCTTCCCGCCCTGACGTAAAAGACCAAGGTCAAGGAAGATTACCTACAAATTTGCTGAGACACGGGGGCCTGGCACTGCGTATGACAGCTCAGCACGCCACCCCCGTCTCGGGCCGTGAGAAATGGCTCCAGAAGGTCCCAGCTCAGCAGCTAGCAGCCCCATCATGCTCTCAGTCTCCAGTTCAATTTAAATTCCCATCAAAAACAACCGACCGAACAGATTAAAATTTGAGTCCACCTAGCTGCGAGGGAAAGAGAGCGGGGTTTGCAGGGAATCTCAGCTGCTGGGATACAGCTGCGGGCAGGGCCGTCTGCGGAGCTGGTAGTGAGATTTTTCAGAGCCTGAACGGAGAGCTTCTGGAAAAACGACTCCATCCAACATAACAAGCATGCGATTCTGCAGCAGCGGGAAGGGAAGGGGCAGAACCGGAGGACCTTCGCTCTTGCTGGGGAGTTAGGGGTGCAGGAATGATTGTTGGCACATGGCAGTATTCTGAGCTTTTGGTTGCAGTGGATACTATGCAGTTTTCTCCCCAGCAACCACCCTGCTCCCCACTGCAGACACACACATCCTGGACCCACATTTCCCCTCCTCCACATGGCACCTTGTGACCTGTCATTTAAAAATGGTACTAAGTCTGCAGCCCTGCCCAGAGTTGGCTGGTCCGTGGAGAGCACCTGGTGCGTGCTAAGCCGGTGGGCAGCCTCTCCAGGAAGAGCTGGATGGGTGTGGAACAGCAATCTTTCCACAGGGACAAAGCAGTGAGCTCCAAACCCGGCTGCTGAATGTACCCGCTGGGTCCTGCTGCGTGAGGCAGGCTACAGTCAAAGAAAATGAACGTCCTTACACCAGCGGTTCTCAACCTGTGGGTCGAGACCCCTTTGGCGGTCGAACGACACTTTCACAGGGGTCGCCTAAGAACATCCTGCATATCAGATATTTACATTATGATTCATAACAGCAGCAACATTACAGTTATGAAGTAGCAACGAAAATAATTTTATGGTTGGGTCACAACATGAGGAACTGTACTTAAAGGGCCAGAAGGTTGAGAACCACCGCCTTACACAGACAAGGCCAAAGGTGAGGGAGCTCGCGTCCTGGCAGGCCTTGGTCCACAGTTCCAGTTACTCCTCAATCCCGCTGCGCTCCTGCTCTCCCCTCAGAGGCAGCTCAGAGGCAGCTCACCCCACTCAGGCCCCTGCTAGTAAAACTGGGTTTTGTCATTTTGGCAGGAAGAGTCCTGACACTTGTGATCGAATTCTTTAGTCTAATCCTTTATTCTGACCATCGTAAACTTTAAATCATTTTTAAAGTAGTAGCTTCCACATTTTCCCCCACACATACAGAAGCTGGTCCACTCCCTGGTTTTACAAACATATAAGGAAGAATCATGTTTGAAGAAACACAACGCCATCGAGTATGCCTTGCTCCAACCTAGCCACGGAAGCTCTTTAGGATCTACTGCTGTGATGTACTAGTAACTACTTGAAAGACTGGGTTTGGCCTGTCCACTCCAGTGAGTGAAGATCTTATAAATCTTTCTCTACAACCAGCCTCCTTCATTCACTCTGGGCGTCTGTCCTGGCCTGTTCTGCTTGAACAGCTGTCATCTCTCTGAGCAGAGCTCCTTGTCTGAATGGTAGCACAATGTCTGAACCGTCTCATTCCCCGACTGCCTGCTCTTCTTTCTCCTTCTCACATGGTGTCACACAAGCCGGGCTGCCCTCCACTGCAGGCTGGGAAGAAGCTACTCCATGGGATGGGGAAATGGGGTCCCCATTCCTAAAGAGCACCCCGGAAGTACAGGGGCTCTAGATCTTTCTGAGGTGAACCAGCGCCAATGAGAAGCAAGAAACAGAAAGGAGCAGGGAAATAAGAGTGCCCTCTTTTCTCTCTGCTACAGCCGAGGTGTGCTAAGGGAGGGTCCTCTCGAAACCTGCCAGGGGGTCCAGAGGGCCCAGTGCCCACACTGTGTCTGTGGGGCTCCTGTGAGCAGGCCCAGGATGGTCACACGCTCTTTCACATTATCTTGCACTTCTCCTGGTCCCTTCCGTTTTCCTTCAGCCTTACTGCCTGGCCTTGCACCTCCTCCCCTAATAACTAGTCATGTTTGACTCTTTGCCTTGGGGCCTGCTTCCTAAAGGCCCTGGGCTAAGACACTGATTCTGGGTTCTCACCCCTTCACCCCACCCTCCTCAGTGCCACTAGTTCCCCAAACTGAAGATTCAGTTCCCCCCTAGGAAGTCTTCAAAGGCTCCTCATGGCACTGAAAGACCATGGACGCAGCTGTGCACGTCCTGCACGACCTGGGCTTCTAGAAGCTCTCCAGCTTTATCTCCTACTACAGGTGACCCCTGAACAACGCAGAGGTTAGGGGTGCCCACCCCCTGCACAGGAAAAATCTGCATATAACTTCTGACTCCCCAGAAAGTTAGCTGCCCCTAGGTATCTTTGGGGGATTGGTTCCAGGACCCACGCAGACACCAAAATCCAAGGATGCGCAAGTTCCCTATAAAATGGTGCGGGACAATGCATAGTCAGCCCTCTGCATCCATGACTCCCAACTATGGATCAAAAACAGTACAGGTGCCCTGGCTAGTGTGGCTCAGTTGGTTGGAGAGCTGTCCCATGCACCGAAAGGCTGCCGGTTTGATTCCCGGTCAGGGCACAGACCTAGGTTGCAGGTTTGATCTTGCGTGGGGGTGTGTACGGGAAGCAATGGATAGATGTTTCTCCACACATTGATGTTTCTCTTTCTCCCCCTCTCTCTAAAATCAGTAAAATATATCCTTGGGTGAGGATTAAAAAAAATTACAGGTATTTATTGAATAAAGTTCACGTGTAAGTGGACACCCGCAGTTCAAACCTGTGTTGTTCAAGAGTCAACTCTGTTCCCTCTTCTCCTCTACCTCCACTTATTCCCCACTCCCAAACCTCTCCTGCACTGGCCAGCCACTGTCTCCACCATGTATGCCCCTCTTTCTTCCTTCCTTTATAAGTTGGCATTCCCCGGCTTGGCCAGGTGAAGTTAGCTGCTAATGTCCTCTGCTGTGTGCATGCCTCAAGCTACAAAATCAAAAGAGCCAACTAGTCTTTAAGCTATAGTCAGTCAAATAATCTCCTTATGAGACAGCAGAGGGACCTGGGCCTGGGAATGGAAAAACACCAAGTGGCCAGGAAGCCAGTGAAGACCAGGTGGCCAGAAAGAAAGCCAGATAAGCTGGCTGCAAGAAGTCACCACCCTTCCACTCCCTACTCAAAACAGTGAGGTGGCTGATTTTATCTCCCTGCTAACTGCCTGCTTCCTTGCAGATGTTGAAAACTACTGACCCCCACACGTAGTTAACCCTCCTGGGCTGGTGGTAGTGAGCACACCGCCATCTTGCCCACACAGAGGTGAGAAGAAGTTACCAGGCAACACAGCTGGAAAAGGAAGTCACCTGACTCTGAAATGGAAAATTCCACAAGCCCGCCTTTTAAAAACAGCCTGCCTTTAGACGCAAGCCCACTTTGTCCCCAGCTTGTAAAACAGCCAAGCAAAGAAGGAGCCAGTTCAGAGGCCCTTCCTTTCCTCAGTGCTGCCTCCCTTGTACTCGAACACAAGCTTAATAAAATCTGTCTGGATATTTCTCTGGGGTTTCCTCTTGATTTCTATCTTGGGGAACCCAAGAACCTCAATGCTGGCAATACTTTCTTTGCTTCTGCACTTTTCTATAAGTCTATTCCTGGTTCCTAACCATTTCCAGTTTGGTGCCAACTGACCGGAATTGATATTTGCTCAAGTAAACTCCTAATTAATATATAATATTATATTATATTCATCGTCGATTCAACTTCCTTTTAACATCGTCACCAAGTCAAAGGTTCTCTCTTAGGAGTGGAGAGGTTTCAGGAAGGGAGGGCGGGAGGGAAAAGGGAGTAAAAAGGGAACCATCCTCATCTGTCTGCTCCTGGAGGCTGCATACACTTCAGAAAGGATGGGAAAGTCTTCTATTCCGAGATGAGAAATACAGTTCTAAATGCAAATCTGTGAACTTCAGCAGTGACGCAGGAACCATTTACATTATGGAATAATTTCAAGTCTTTGCAGTCCTTGGCTCTTTTATTTCCAAGCAACCTCCCAAGGTAAAGGTGTGTGTGTGTGTGTGTGGCGGGGGGGAGGGTCTTTGTTGTGTCCCATTGAGGCTCCTAGGGATTTAGAAGACTCCAAGAAGCTAACATCCTCAAAACCTGTCCACTTCTAACCCCTCCTCCCCAAACCCTTCTCTCTCCAGGGCTCAATAACTGCAGTGGGAATAATATGAGAACCTCACTCTTTTGTCTCCAATGGGTCCATGGGCAATAAAAATAAGGGAATCTGCTTCCTTTTGCTGGACTGAGCTCCACACTTAATAATGACAACTCGTCTGTGGCAGTGGGTGGACAGGCTGCGTAAGTGTGGTATGAATGAGTGGTTCTAGAACCCACCTTTGAGCTTTAGGAGGAGAACAAAAAATGGATGGGAAGCAAGTGAAAGGGAATAATATGCACAAGCATGTTGCTTATTATTCTTTATTATCTGGTTAGGTGAGAATCATGGCCTCTGGCCTAAAGAAAGAAACTGGGAGACCTCTGAGACTAAGTGGGTAATGCAGAAAGAGCAATCAGCCCTATTTTGTAACTTGATGGAATTATAAATCAGGAATAATATAACTTCTTAGTTATATTAGACACCTTTTATACATGCTAGGCTAGAATTGGGAAAAAAATATATATGTAAAATATGCTTACCTATATACTTCCTTCAAAATATACGGTGGCAACATTGTCCCCAAACCATAAAATGGGACAAGTTAGAAATGAGTCCCCGACCAACTTACACAAGTGCCCACGCTCCCTCCAGATCTCCCCTGTGAACTGGCTGGTGAGTGAGTGCATCTCCGTCTCCCCAGCACTTCCAGGTTCTGCTTTTCTCTGCCTTAGCAGCAGAGCTTTCTGCTATTGAAAGGACCCTGGGGACCCGTCAGCTGGTCTGTGAAGACAAGATGCCATTTGACATGACCTCTTTTCTGCTTTGAGAAGGGCAGAAGGTCTTCAACTTGTAAAGCTGGCTTCTCTCCCCCACCCTGCTCACCCCCAATGCAAATGCAGCCAGTTATGGAGAAAGATGCCGCTTCCTCTGCTCTGGCCGCGGGCCTGCAGTGACAAAGCCCGTCAGCTCTGCTACTGTGCTCAGAAGACAGACTGAGGATTGACAAGAGGCCACTGCAGCCCAAATGTGCCACCAGCCCCTTTGGGGGCTTTGATACCAGGCCCATCTGGGTAGTAATCACAGAAAACAGACTATTCAGTGACAAACAGAAAGGTGTTACAATGGAACCTACAAGCTGCCTTGGCAAAACTGAAGTTGCATTTTTTATACAGTCCCTGGGGTCAGCGAATTGTGTATTGAATGGACGTGACCTGTGAGTCTGTCTCATCCATACCTGAAAAAGTGGAGGTGATATCCCGATGGGCTTTGGCCAGTGCCTGGCAATCAGATGCTATCTAAAGGCAAAGGTCACTCCTCAGGGCCATCCCTTGGGTCTCCAGGGGAGGACTGGGAGCGCTGAGGCTGGGCCCGCCTCAGCAGAGCATCATGGTCATACGGTGGAGGGCAGAACGGGCATGAACATGGGCATCTCCCACCAATTAACGTGAGGCCCCAGAGGAAGCAACCAAACAACGGGTACCCAGTACCCTCCAAAGTGAGCAGCCAGCCCCTCCCACCCCTCCAGAAGGGAGGAGGAAGGCCATCCTCGGGGAGCTGCTGGCTGGCTTCCCTTATCCACCTAACCAGGTAAGAAGGGCCTCCAGGATCACTTGGGGAGCTTCACCTGCCTCCCTGCTAATTGTTGGGGCATGCAGATTGGCTCCAGACTCAAGACTTGAAATACCTATGGCTGGAGACTGGGGTGGGAAAATGCCCTGTGGAAGGAGCCGAAAGCAGGGCCTGTTCCCAGGTAGGCAGAGCTCCCAGAGTTCCTCAGAGGAATGGGTGCTTGTTTCCTTGGTGCAGGTGTGGGCTGCACAAGGCCCAACTGGGTCCTGCTGGGAGGACCACCAGAGTGTGGCTGAGACCAGCCTGCAGAGGGAGCCAGGCCGCCAGCCTGAGGTGGCACTGCCTGTGATAAGGGAACAAACCACTGTAGGTGAGTGGTCCATGGAGGAGGGGGACCTGAAGACCCGCAGCAGTCCCGCCAGAGGACAGGCTCAGTGTCAGCCACCCACCCGGGAAGCACTAGTCCTAGATGATGCCAATTCTATTCCTACAAGAGCCTTCCCACCTCTTTGCCCACCTTCTTCCCTGTGTCTGTGGAAGGACTATAAACAGCTGGTCCGAGGGATGGGAAGACATCAGCGAGGGGGAGATGACCATCTGCAGGCTGGGGGCCCACCTCCACTCCAGGCTCCGCAGGCAAGCAGCACTTAGAAGTGGATGGGGGAGCTGACCTTGAAATTATGTTGTTTCCACTATTAAACGGAATTGTAGTTCCATGAAACTGGAGTGGACACTTTAACTATTGCAGTTGGATTGCTTTTGGAGCAAAACGTCACAGAAGGGTTTTCTATTATTTGTGAGTTACAGGACCTGCCCGAACTTGTATCAAGTGGCAGGAAAGAATAACTACAGTTCAAGGGAGAAAAAGTTGTTTCTTGCTTGATTTCAATGGAGTCTCACTCTTTCAATTTCATGGTTACATATAAAAGGTGACTTTAGGTGGAACATGGATACATTTTTTTAAATTTAATAGCTATAAATCTATTTATTTGTGGTTTAGAAAAACACATCCATGTGCATAGCTAAAGTAATTATGTTAAAGACAAGTGCGTTAAAATTATTACGACATTAAGAATAGTCCAGGTGGGATACTAACAAAACGCCCTGACTTTCCTTGGAAACTGCTACCTAAGAGCAGGAGAGGACAGCCTCGTTCTACAGGCGAGGAAGGGCTGCCTTTTGCCGTTCCACCGGGCACACTGGTGGCAAGACCATGGCCAGGGGACTCGAGGCCACTCCTTTTACCATTCAGCAGGAAACAGAAAGGCAAGCAGCACAAGCGCATGCTTCTGAGCAGCAAAAATGCAGATAGCTGGAGGGGAGAGCGTGGTCCAAACCAAAGAAAAGAAGGTGGTAAACATTTCCACTTCAATGTTGTCTCACTTTGCAAAAGCCCAGGGATGGAAAGCAACCTTATGTACAAGGCCTTTACCCAGCAGCTGTCACCTGCAAACCCCTCATCCTCACACACCAGGCCTTCACCCTGCACTGTCACCTGCAAACTCTTCATCCTCACACACCAGGCCTTCACCCAGCAGCTGTCACCTGCAAACCCCTCATCCTCACACACCAGGCGTGCACCCTGCACTGTCACCTGCAAACCCCTCATCCTCTCACACCAGGCCTTCACCCTGCAGCTGTCACCTGCAAACTCCTCATCCTCACACTCCAGGCCTTCACCCTGCAGCTGTCACCTGCAAACTCCTCGTCCTCTCACACCAGGCCTTCACCCAGCAGCTGTCACCTGCAAACTCCTCATCCTCACACTCCAGGCCTTCACCCTGCAGCTGTCACCTGCAAACTCCTGGGCGGACACCATGCAGGAAGCTCCTCTGCCCTGTAAATTTCTCAGGTTGTCTGAAGAAGTCTTTTTCTTCCTTAGGTGAGGCAGAGCAAGGATATTCAAAGAGAAGCGTTTGGGAGGCAGAAGGCTTGGGTACAAGCCTTAGCCCTCTTGGAACTGCCTAGATAAGGCTGGACAACCCACTTCATCTTTTGCAATGTCAGGTTCCTCAGCTGTAAAATGAGGGGCTTGTTGGTTTGAAGGTCCTTGAGCCCCAAAGTCCATGATTTTGATGTATGACTCAATGCAGCTTTCTCTCTGCTTTCCCAAGCGGGAGACAAATTAGTCTACAAAGGAAAGCAGGCACAGGTGGCTGCTGACTACTCCGGCCCCTTTCCCACCAGCTCACCTGTCCCTGGTGGTTAACTTCAAGCTGCCCCCTCTTCAGAGAGCTGCCTCCGTGAGGGCAATGACTGACTATTAGGGTGTTAGAACCAGAAGACCCTGGTCTCCAGATGGGGCCAAATCTGGAACTATGCACCCTTCAGTTCCCCAAAGAGGCGAGCTGAGGCTGGTCTCCCACCAAAAGCCGAGAGTACCTGGAGCATTTGACCCCCAAATGGGATTGTTAACACCCCCTCCTTTAGGTCAAAGATGACTTTCAGTAATAACCATAAAATGAAATGAATAATTATGGTCAGAAAAGAAATGCAGAGTTTTCTGAACATTGCATTTATCATGACAATAACAAAAAAATTACCATGTGAAAACAAAAAATAGATTAACACTTTTTAATGACTTTAATGTATTTTTCTACAAAAAAAAATCTTCTATGCTGGTCTCTCTCAGTAATAAATAACAACATCACATTGTCTGATTTTGACTGTTAACTTTTCTACATCTGCCATTGACTCCATCAGAAGCAATGCACTTCATGTATTCATGTTAACAGTGTCCATTACCTTTAGCATCACTTACAGAGGAAGACTTTTTACTAATTTCCAGAAGTTTCTTTCATATGAAGCAAGATATACAAGAAGACACAA